TATAGAAATATATCACAAATGTTTAGGAATGGTCCGCGGGTATGTATAGAGGAAATACAAAAAACGGGAAGATGACTGGCGTTAGCGGGTTTTGAACTCGAGACTGCTGGGTGGCTATTTTGTCGATCTTACCACTCGACCATTGCAACCCAAGCTGAAGTTTAGCTTGTGATAAGTTGCTGAACCATGGATCAAAGCTACATCATTTTTCTCATATCATAAAACTATGCTTTCCATGGAGAAACAGATAGTTCCCTTTATAACAATTTGCTGGTGTTTATAAGGAGCCCGACAACGAGTCGCTGAATTTATCTTCTTCTAGTGGATTTAAATATTTTCCTTTCCACTTTTCACGATATGCAGTTGTAATGTTTGATCAAGATAACCGAGACGGTACCTCATCAAGATTAAAACATATGAGTCATTTTCATTTGTTTACGGACCTCGGCAACTTGTTTGCCGATGTTTCATTAACAGCCTAGGTGCCATCTTCATTGCTCGAAGGGTGCATTCAGTTCGCCGGAGCTAGAAGAATCCATTTTCAATCATTTGTAAACAAGCACGTGCAAAAAAAGATTCACTCTGAGAAATTTTCAAGCAAGGTTTTTGGTCGAAACGACGAGTTTAACCATCTCTGACGTAAAACCATTTTCGCATGTTTATGTAGAGTTCAGCTGCGTTATCACTGCTCACATCTTTACCCAAAACTAGCAAAACCAAAAATATCTGTATAAAACGTGATGTTTTTAAAAATCAGTTCACCTAATCGATTTTGCTTTTTTGATGCTACATCTCATCAATTTTCACCAAACCTTAAAGGAATAATGACTGTATAACTTTGCCTGCATTAAATTGGGCAGATTCAGAGATAAAAGACAATGAACAGTTTGTACTGCATCTCGATAAAAATGCAACTTGTAGGGAGCCCATTAGACTATTATGTGTCGTGTTTAAAACAATCGTTGATTCTTTTGTTTGATCACTTAGATATTTTTAAATGGATAAGTAGCGATGAAAGTGTATCCAACCTGATTTACAACTAAATTTGTTCGTGATAGGAATAAAACCTTACATAAATACTACACAACGGTGTTGGTTGGAGGTGATTTTTCAATATTATTTTAGATCTGCATTCATGCCTGTATACGTGGGCGGAAAAACAAAATTAGTTCCTTGTGTATTAAATATTCTCATACTTAGTCACATTTGTTCTAAAATGTCAATCGATTCAAATTAATGACTTTGGTTTGCAACTCAGAATATACTTGACGTATCCCTGCAAAAGCCTATTCATTAGATCCAAGTTGAATAAAAAGAATATTTCATGCCTTATGTTATTATTGAATTTTGGATATTCTGCCTGCCATTTGCAAATTTAGAAGCAGTTGCAAATAATCCTATGGAACACTTGATCATTTCATCATATTCTTGCCATTGCAACACATACATATGACTAGTTGTAGATAGTGATTTCAGACAATAAAAGAAAAGTAATTAAAATCAAAATGTTCAGCGGTTTGTATCGTACTTGGTCCCAATTATAGTGATCTAACTTCTTCAGGAGTCAATCCCCATTTGCTTTTATGTTTATTGACCGGTCGGTTGTCGGCAGTCCGGCCATGGGAGCTTTAGTGATTGCAAAAACTGTTTTTGAGTACACAGGGTGTGTAGGGGCGAAGAAGAATGTTAACTGCCTCCTTTGTGTATAGAATACAAAACCGCACTCATCCAAACTGTCCCGGTTTAGATATGTACGGGGGTTGGAAAGATGTGGTCAGGTTCACGTTGTGATAAGTGTCAACAGTATGCAACAATACCATACTGGTATTTGAATTAATTGCTATATTTCTCAACCAGGCAGAGTCAAGCCCATGGACGCCCACGGACGGACTCATAGCTGTGCGATCAAAACACTTCCATCCACAGGAAAAAAAAGAGTGAATAAGAACAGTGGAACCGGAATCGGGTGTGCGACCTTGTAACAACAGATACACTTAGGAGCTAGATGTGAATTGGGTCTGGAGCTTGGCTCTGTAGAACGCTATGCTAATGGTCTATACTAGACTATTATGCACAACCTCGACCAGTGTGCCACCCTCAAATTGTAAAGAGATCTACAAAGGTATTTTCCTATAATTCATCATTTTTGGAAACCTCTGTTGTTTTTGCATCGCAGATTTCACCAAGCGCTCCATGTATCCATCCTGGATGAAGATACTCCACGCATTTCGGGCTTCTGTAATCAGCATGTCACTCGAACATATTCTTCGAGCTTTATGGGTCAAAGAATGTATGAGATACTTCAAGTCAAGTCAAGGAATCGCTTTATACACCTCGAAAGGCGGATATTCAGCAACCACATCACCACAGTGTGTCAGGTAAAACAAAAACACATTCTTCTTCATACTAAGCGATACCAAGCTACTGAAATGAATGAACTATTTAATCTAGTTCGCCATGTTTGATACAAACTGATCTACATTTAAATTCCAATAACGGTCCTTGTGTCGCCTAAATCACTATCTGTAGCTGAACATATATAGTGTGCTCTAATGGTATGATTCAGGTGCACTAAAATGCAAAGTATCCTTGAAAAATTTAGATTAGCAATCCATATTGACAGTCTGGTATCCACGATGAAAATATGCAGTTATTTTAGCTACCGTTGGAAGACATTTTACAGTATCATAAACACTTCATCGCTTCACGCTCATGCGTTTTAAGAGTCAGCCATTTTCGTTTCTTTTAATGCAGTTGTCAGTGCATACTCTAGAAGAAGATGAATTCAGTTATTAACGTAGTTGAATATCTCAAACTCTTGGTGTATATGTGTTAGGTATGTTTTGCTTACTTAACATAAAAGCTTATTTCAGTTTACGCACATTCATTCAAGCAAAGTTAGAAAACTAAGCTATTCCGCATACATATTACACGATTTTAGTCAAAAGTAAAATCCCAAAACGCAAACGGTTGTTCTCCCCGACTACGAAAACCTTCACTACTTCAAAAATGATCAGTTACTTGCTTTCTAGTTACACCCATCCATTAACCAAATCACATGCAGAAAATTGATTTGCTCTCCGATGTACGTTGAATAACCAAATTGGTAAAGATCAGTTGTTTATTCGAAGTGTTTCAGTAAAATTTATGCTACCATTGAAATTTTAGTGATGGGAACGTTCATTTAATGAACTACATTTAATAAATCAAGTTCTAAAAATGACAAGCAACCCAGTTGTGTAGATTTTGCATGACAAACGATTTCAAATTATACTACTGATTTACACGTACTTTAATATTGAACATCAGTCCGACGGAACACACCGTAATTTTCATAGAAATAGAAAGAACAAGACTTGATATTTAATCTCAAATGCACAAACTACTTTAATGTGACTTATCAATTTACAGTACATGAAACTAAAGTCAACGAACGGTACGGATTGAGTTGCACGACAAAATTGAGTATGTTAGCTACTTCATAGAGATTTATGCACCCCAAGCTGCTCGTTTATCCAGTCCTCAAATCACGTTCCTCTTTCCCATCGAGTAAGAACGAAGGAAATCAAAAACGAATAAGGTATACATTTCCTGCAGGGACACGTTTTGATAAATTAGAGCAATGAGATGATCAATATTTTGTTTGTTCCAAATCGACAGTCAAAATAAACAAACAATAAACAAACAATGCAGGTGTTTTTGTAGAAAAGTACACCTCGAATGGAAGTAACTACGTTTCAAGTTTCTTCATTGCTCCAACTAAGCCATTCTTATGCATGTGAACATCAATGCAAACATTAAAACTAAACTAAACTGAACTAAAATAAATGGTAGAAACAAGATTTTATGGTTATGCCTTTTTACCAATTTAATAATTGATCCCAAAATGGCTTAGGTATTAAACTTCTTTTAGCAATCGTCATTGAAAGTAACCCTTTTCATCTCTCATACGACCGAAATAGCATACTTACCTTACCATTGAACAAGAAATTCACCAGAAACCTTGGAACTTCCAGGCCGTCAAGAATGTTGGTTAAATTTAATCGGAGGCGCTGCCGATAGATTCCGGGTGGCATGTGGCAAAAACAAATCTGACCTTTCTGATAGAATCGGGATTTGTTCAAAGAACAGCTGGTTCTGGGAAGATTGGCAGGCCAGTGCGCGCAGACGTTTTGTATATTCCTAAAAGAACAGTAGAACGCTATCAAAGCTGTTCAGGAGAAATGTGATTTGCTGAGCAACAACGGTTTCATCGCCCACTGGTCCGTGTTTGGTTAGAGTTCAAATAATTTTTTAAACTGTCTCGCAAGCGATGTTACTCAAAACCAAAATACTGATTTCCGTCCAAACAATAGTGCCGAGCACTCAGAATGGGCTTTGATGTTGTTACGCCCATCGGGTAATGGTTTGGGTTTTTCACCGAGTAATTGCGATATTTATAACCAGACAAATCAGTAATTATTCTGAATATTTTTGGTCGTCCATTTTATTACTTGTGTTTGAGATTTACCAGTAATTATTTTGTTTGTTTTTTTTCGAAAAAGAACGCTGCTTTTGGTTTCATCAAACTTCTTTGGAGCTATAAACAATGTAGGCTTTCCAAATGACGTGTTCTATGTCACACCTCTTTATGTAGATAGAACGCTGCAAAAGCTTGTTTAAAAGGTTGCATTGTAAACACCTTGTAACCCTGATCTTACCTCATGTATTTGTATTGCTTGCTACTTGTGCATGACTCCATGAATAATGAAACTATGATTTTCGATGATGTTACGAGCTCTCACTTGGTTCACCATTCTACCGAAAAGTTCAAGGATTTGACAGAGGATGAAGCTTGAAATGTTCAGAAATTCGGTTACAACCCTTGAATAAAGGTAGTTTTCTTCCTGAAAGCGCCGAGAACCGAGCAGTGGTATTGTTTATTGGGAGACGCAGAATTTCATGGTCAGTGTGCATTATTAACTTCCCTGTTTCATGATTCATTCAAATTAAGATCAAATTAGGTGAAAAAGCTTTTACTGAATAATAACCTACCCAACGTAAATTGGTGGATAATCCGGATCAATTCTCGCCTCGATTTTCAGGCGGTAAAATCCCGTCAGTTTTCGATGCAGCTGAATAATGTACCGCAGTCGAGCATGCAGTCCACCGTTTTCCAGCGCAATCACCGAAGGACGTATAAGAACCCGATGAACTGTAATCACTGTTTGAGGCGAGCTCATTTGCTGTTGCTGTTTTTTTTCATCCCTAGTCGATCGAGACTTTGTCTGTCCCACGTGTGATCGAGCTAATCTGTCTCTGGACTTACGCTGATGATGCTTCTCTACAAAGGCCGTTTTGACTGGCTGATGCACAGAACTCCGGAGCTTCCTTTCTGTTCTATCATCAGGCATAACAATCCCATTCGCGGCACGCTTACTCTGCCACGCTCGTCTGTGCCAAATGTGTAGTGGGATTGGCATGTGCTTGTACCACTGCATGGCCAAAGCATTCAACTGGTGTTGTTCCGATATTCTGGCAATGGCATTTTCACGGATTACACGTGGTGGATGGGAATACGGGTTTTTGGATGAGTATAAACTTTGTTCATATCGATCAATCTCTTTTGGTGTGAGCACATCCGGTGGTTCCATATTATCTGCGGCAAAACATTTACCGGAAGTAAAATAAAACTGACACGATTGAGCAATTGACAACTTCCGAATGAGTAAATATTTCAATAATATTTGAAACATGAATCTGAATCTGAACTGTGAACATGAAAGCACAATTTATTTGTTTTGATAATCTGTCGCATGATTACTTCCTTCCGGAATTTATCAAGAAATTCATGAATACAAACAGCCAATAAGAAATCACATATTCAAAATAACATCATTTTGCGTACAAAATGATTGACGTTTCAATGATTGCTTCCTTTGCAGATTCGTAAGAAAAATACAAGAAAAATTACCACGGTAAACATTTTACGGAATAAACTGTATGCATTTTTCGTTTCTGATGAAACAGATAGTAGGAATTCCCCGTTAATTCTCTAGGTAAAACAAGCAACTCGGAACCAAATAAGGCCTTCGTAGTGTGAATGTTCGTGACATCCCGGGAGTATGAAAATCACTGTTTGGTTTGAAATGATGTAAAACTGGTTTGCGAAGTTATGTTCATTATCAAGTGTACATGTGGCATGTACCTAAAAAAAATTGATCGGTGTTTGTGTATTGATAAATTTCTGAGTTTACTCAACAACGAGGCCTTATATATTGAAGACAATGTGCTGATAACGAGGAACGTACCGAATGCATTGAAGATCATGCGCAATGGTAGTTCACACAATTATGAACATCACCATGCCATGATTGGATCGGACGAGAATTAGAGTGCACAATTCAACTGTTCACTTCCAGGTTCGATAGTTGAACATAATGGCGTAAATTACACCTCAAATGGTACACCTTGAGTCAGGTGAAATACAGCACAATTAAATCCTAGTGTTTTAGTTCTGGGGAGTAACTTTAAATTAGTTTCAGAAAGTGTATGTTTGTAGCTTCAAGATGACCCTATTTGAACTGTGATACCATTTGGGCATGACGTCTTTTCATTGCATACATTTTGATGAGAGAAATGCCAGGGATTTCTGTGAACAGTACGGCAGGAACTGAGTACAGATTAACATGCATTTAGAAGTTGCAGGACGAAACCTACTGTTCTGTTGCCTAGACACATCGTTCATCTAACAAAAAATGGTAAACATAAAGTTTGTTCGATTTGGGGAAATTTACCAAAAGCTGTTTTTCATCAGACAAGTCAACAGCTCGCGCGAAAAGGAGAGCAAAATCCGGAATCCGTGTGGCTTTGCCAGTGCAAATATGCGGATTAATTCCCGGTCAGATTTATCGCCCCAGTGTTGCAGGCGATTTTCATGGGTTCCTTTCTTCCAATAGCCAGTGCAATTTACCACACCGAGCGTGATTTTTCTTGCCGACATTTTAAAATATTTATAGTCATCCAAATGTCTACGACCGGCAAACGGTTACTACAACGGGTGGTCCTCTGCGCGTAGGGATTGTTTGATTATGGACCGCCACGTGTCTGAAGCTCATTAAATACTAGAGTTCGGCAAGTATGCGAAAGCCCTAATCAACTCCAGTACCTAACCACCACCGCCACAGCATACATACACACCCAGGTAATCACCCACCCACAGCGTATTCAGACTGTGCCAACAGATGTGTAACATTAGCAACCTCGTGCAGGTTCTATGGTAGATTGGACAAGAACCACCGCGTGTTCTGATAATCCGTTTGTAGCGTAATTATATGATGGTGAAATGGGAAATGAATAAGACTTGTAATACCACAAAAAGAGAAAAAAGTAAAAACCAACCTTTTTGTAAACAAACATTAAGTGTTTCTGCTTTAACCCTTGTGTACTTGTTCTTTCCGTCTTCAAACTGTCCATGTATACCGTAGAGTCCATCAAACCTTTTTTGCGCACCCTACAACGTTCCAGGATTTATGGGCCGAAACATGTTGTCAGTTGTCTTACTAACAACACGCTTCCATGTTCATGTTTATTTGAACAAGTGTTTGATAATAAAATAACTTGTTTTCACTTCGGTATAATTATGATGGGAAGTTTAGCACTGGGGTTGTGTAAATATCTCACTTACTGTAACAGATGTGTCAGTATCAAAGACGTTTCTCACCAAATAACACCAGATTCACGACAGAGAAGCCAGTATGATAGAGAATCAAAGCGTATTCTTTTAAATTTTCTTAATATAAGATAAAAGTCTGGTTAGGCGTTTCAATCATCAGGAGGAGATTCCGTTTTGAAATACAATACATTATCGAGACAATGTTTCACTGTGCAAAATAAGCGGTAAATGGAAAACAATCTCATTTTCGGACTGCCTTTAGATAGTATCCACAACATTGAGTGATTTACACAATGCTCTAACTTTGTGTTCCTTCCATGGACCGAGAAAAAGATCCAATGTTCACTGTGGAAAATAAAACAAATGTGTTACATATTACGCAGTAAAAGGAAATATATGGTGGTTCTTTTTTACTTTTATCATTTATTCATATTCTGGGATTAAATTAATGCAAAATTTGTATAATCATTGATTTATTCTACCTCCATGGCTCAGCTTTGCTTTCAATTTGTCCGTTTTAATGTAAATCCTCGATTTACTGTTTATTTATTCCAAATACAGAATGTTATTTTTTCACCGTTGCTTTGCACATAATCGGATTAATGGTATTACACAAACCAATCAAACCAAATTTCAAATGATCAAGATCTTATTACTCCTCTGTGGCGTTTGGATGACAATAAAATAAATTAACTTAGATTCTACGTCTGTGCAAACTCGTTTCCCAATTTTCATGAAATCAAAATAAAACAGAGCTTTTATTACACAACACCCGAGAAACGCTTACACTTTTGATTCATTACTTAGAAGAGATTCAAAAGCTACACAGTGAATAGCAAAACATTTGACACTTTTATTGTTGCTTTGACAATCTGATAAATCGTAAATGGAAAATAAACAACCTTCGTGCATTCTATATTGATTTCAAAATAGGAGAAAGCGATAAAGATAGCATCGATCATTTGACGATAGTCAAATGCCCCATTATTAAGATTCAGTTTCCATGTTATGTATATATAGAGAAGTACGAAAATAGGCTTTTTGAAGGATCAGATTACTCTAAATCTCAGAGTTGATGACACAAAGGAGTGAAAACTCAGAGCTGAACTATTATTTCTCAAGCACTCCTATCTTACAAGAAAATAGATTTTCAAGCTGAGTGATTAAGTTTTTGGTCAGGGATTACAAGGTCTGAAAACATGAGCTACTCAACTATAGACCATTTACTTATCCAACACTAACGTTTTATAATTGTTGGCACACTGGTGTTGTATGTTTGCTAAATATCCACTCTATAAAACCTATAAAACGATTCCTTGACTTGAATTGGTTTGAGGTAACCGTCTCTTACGTGCACTGTAATGTTTATCTTAATTTAATCATTCCATTTTGCTACTTTTGTCTTTCGTAATCACATTTAAAAGAACGTTTGTTTTCAAATTGAAACTGTCTAACAAAATTTGGCGTTCATGCCAAAGCGTTACATGAGGGAGTGACCTTCAGATCATTATGGAAGTTCATTTTTTCATTTTTCCTGAATTTCCATCAAACCACATGTACCGAAAGAACCTTAGTTCGTTTTGCTTTGCACTCCAAAATTAGAAAGAAATTACACCATTATCAATGTGAAATAATGCTGGTTTGTAAATGTTTTGAACAAATCAAACATTTGTGCGCTGCTCACAGCGATGTGACCTTAACGTGGAGTATATCAATGTCTGTTTCACTGTTTTACCAACGGCAGCGACTGCGCCTCGTTGTTTTGGTATGCAAGCCTAAACGGTTTATTAGTAGAAACATTTATCAACTAGGCCAAGACTACGAAATTTCAAGGGGCAGGTGAGTCTCCAAACTGAGTGCGTCCACAATGATCCAGTTATGTAACACCCCTGTTAGGCCAAATTATATTGATGTTTAGCTACCTACCTCAGACTGAGTGGCTCATTTATAGGTTTGTTGAGGCATATTATCAAACAAGATTTTGGGTGCTGGTAATAATGAATTATCTAGCTTTGAACTCCGTCATATTTGGTCTGTTGTTAAATCCGAACCAATGTGTAAACACCCTATGGGATTTGTAAAAGCGAAGTCTTTGTAAGTTATATCCCATAATGAAAATTTGAAATTTGATTTGAATTTGATACATACGCAAAAACAAGTCATAAACATTATTATATCCGCGTATATTAGACTGTAGGGTAAAATCCGCCAGTGATAATATTGTCGGGGAAAGGTACTAACAGCAATTTCTCTCATAAAAACTATGAACTAAGTATCCAGTCGGATTCGTGATACCAACTATTCCATCGTAAATTACCTTAGGTCAAGAAAATGAGGTGATAATAATCCCAGGTTGTCGATGGAACTAACGATTCCGAAAAGATCATCCTAAATACAAACGTCTTGTTACTCTTTGGAGCCCTAGAATTCCCTCCTAATTACAAAACTCAAAACATAGTGGCGTGATTGCAAGCACATTCAGGCTCCGGGAATACAAGTGAGGTTTTCGTGAGAATAAGGTAAACGTAGTTCCTTCATAATAAATTCAGTGAAAGCCGCTTCAGAAGCGATTTTGAAGAACAACTGACGAGTTCCCGTAAGAATGAAACCGAATTGAATACACTCCTTTGGTCACAGCACTCTTGAAAAGCGGCAGAAAGCAGAAAGTATTAGATCAGTATTGTTTAACAAATCTTTGAACCGTATTGCGTCTTGTGTAAATGCCACTAGTTGGATAGGTTAATAACAAATTTTAACAATAAAACATTATCTGGAGTCCTATAGATTGAATATGATAAAAATAGTGGTAGTAGTGGCAATAGTAGTAGTTGTCGGGAGAAAAACAATAGCAAAAATCAAATGAAACTTTGAAGCTTTTTAGTTTTGTGAATGATAATTATTGTCACAGTCTTCTCAGTTTTTAACTTCGAAGGTCTCCCGAGCTGGAACGAACATTTTCTCTGATCAAGCACAAAAGACTTCCGCACTTGAACTTTGGATCCACCACCGGAAATAGGCCGCATTGCCACAAAGTCTGTTTTCGAGTGTACAGACGTGGACACTAGGTATTTATCAGTTAAA